TCACTTATGTCTCACTTAATACTCTAGCTAATTTATGGCCATGCAAATAATAAAATGTATATAACGAAATGATTGGTTATCTCGAAATAGCCGACAAATCAGTGTACAGAGGATGCCAATTTTGGTAGTGGAATAAACCACTCTTAATCCAAGCTCTACCAATTTAAAGTAGGAGACTCGGGTCAATGATGTCATATCTATTTTCATTGCCAACAACACTGGGCTCAGCACATTCCAAGGTTTTTCACAATCACCATGTCACTGTCTGAGACATACCATTATGCCACAGGGAGAGACAGGATGTATGTATCTCAAATTCTGCTGACAACACAATCCAGTGACTGTATCAGCAGTCTTAAAAATAAACATGTGCAATGTGTTGTTGCAAAGTATCCAAACATGTGCGCTTTTCATTCACACGGCCAGGGCTCTGTACTTTTAACTTACAATTTATGTCACAATATTTTAACACGCGCATGCGTGTAAAGTTTGAATGTACTCAGTATTTGTATTGCGAAACTGTGTAAACTGACGCTCGTGTGTACATGTAGATTGTGCAAAATATCGTGTTTTACTCGCCTGGTGGTTTATTGTTTCAATGTCTCATCTCAGTACTTTATTAAGTTTCCATCAGTTGACCAATATTAATTGTACACAGCTTTGTTCAGCATTTAATAGTAGGCTAATATGTGTATGTGAAGACAGAAAGCAACGCCATACAGTTACATTGGTATTAGTAGATTTATTTATTTATTTATTTATTATTGTAAACAGACATGACAAAATGAAAATACTGTAAAATACTTTATTTTCGCTTGGAATTAATTTTCGCTGAAAGAATGATTCAGTGAAAATTAAATCCACCGAATATTTCGTTTTCACTATATTTTGCTTTCAACTCTTCAAAAATCAGTAAAATTAAATTCCATACAAAACACATAAAAAGTCTTTTCAATGAAAATTTAATCCAGCTAAAATAAAGTATTTTACAGTATGTGTTATAGACACTGACACATAAAATAACAAATCGTATCCTATGGTCTTTCTGTTTACAATACAACTAGCCCAGTTCATAAAGATATTTGAAGGGTTATATTTGGCAATGGTGTCTGTTTCAGCAATCCGGCGAAGTAGTACCTTACAATCTCCATCTGGAATTCTAGGTTTCAAAAATATGGCATAACTTTGTAGTACACACCATGACTTTATATACTAGCGGAGAAACTAGCATAGGCAAAAAATAGTAAATTCAGTAACTCAAGCTTGACCAATAACAATACTAAACAATAAATAAACCAGAATGCCAGCTCACACTGGCCAATCGGGTTGTTGCAGGGTTGTGATAGTCATGAAAAATGGACATTTTCATTGAATGACGAAATATATGCTTTTCGTTTATGCTAAAGTATTGACTATATAATAAATGTGATCGTTATTTGCCATAAAATTCAGCCTTTATGACATAAAATAAGAGTAACTTTTGACTGTCACAGTAAAATTCAAAAATAATTCGAATTGCGTATCGAATCACACCCGGTTTTAAAAGTACATTCTTCTGAAATTTACTAACATAAACACTTTCTCTGTACATTTTCGTTCACAGACTAAAATTTAATAAAAATGTAATTAAACAAACAAATATTGAGATGCATGAGTATTTTAGTATTTGTTTTAAGGTAGCGAGACTATTATTTGTGTTGAAAATTACGATTTTCACATTTATTTATTAATTGATGAAATGCACTATAAACTTTCATGTGATAAAGTCAACATAACATAGAATGACATGTAAGTTGGTTAAAATGTAGATTTTCTGAAGGGAAGCAAGGCAGCTTCAGTAGTGTTTTCCAAAATCAACAACACAGGTTTAATCTGTGTGCCTATAAGTTTC